GTCGAGTTTGCCCTTTTCATTTCTTTTTTTTCTATTTTCTTTATTTATTTTGGTATTTAAAAAATAAAAAATAAAATCTCTCTCTCTCTCTCTCTCTCATCAAACTCAATACTTTAGCTTTGCGAATCTGCATCTCAAACGAAATACAAAATCCTTTCTGTGTTCAAAAAATTTACTCATCGCAACACCAAATTCTTTTGACCAAGAGTCGATAATCATCAATCCATATGAAGCTGCAATCAATAACTTGACGAATCCATCTCCTCCATTAATGAATCCAAGTAACAAATACAAAATTAAAACACAGAAATTGAAAACATTAAAATCTGCAAGTCAAGAACAATCACTCACAAAATTATCTCCTCCTCTAACGAATCCATCCCCTTTGTTTTCTACAATTACATATATGAAACTGAACATGATTTACACCTGTGTTTTGTGTTTTGGTTCATTGAATCAAAATTGAAACTGGAGAAAAACACATAAAAACACAGTAAAAAATAGAAATTGAAACACACATGCACAACCAAATTCAAAATCAAAATCAAATTCAAACCTTTAACTTCCTCATCGAAATCATTTGTACCATAAGAATATGAGGATTGTTTAAAAACCCAGATTTTCTAACCCTAGTTTTGTACCACCGACGTAATCAAGCCATAGATAATTAGGCAATCGTAATCAGTGACTAAAATCAGACAACCACCAATAAAAATCAGCAATTGATATTGAAGGATGTTTCATTGCGTGATGAGTGGAATCACATATCTATAGGAAAACAAAGACATAGGATCTTCGTTGCTTTTAGTGACAAGTGGAATTAGCGAGCAACAAGGTAAGTTCTTCCAGCAATTCAGCAACGCCGGACGTGGAGGTTGGCCGCCGGAAAAGATGAAGGAGAGGCTAGTGCAGATGGAGGAGTGTGGTGGGTAATTTTGGATAAGGTGGTTGGTCGCGTTTGGGATAAGAGAGTATAGAGGAGTGTGGTGGTAGTGGTGAGCCTTTCTCAAACGCACGAATTCTGGTCATATCTTCACCAGAGCTCAATCCACCATTTTCGTTTGTGCTATGCTAATCTTCATCACTTTCCTCTTCTTCACTCTCTCATCTTTCTTGCCTAACAACGGTTTCGTTTCCTCTTATAATCTTCATCAATATCATTGATACCTCTCTCTGAGTCACCCTAAGTTTAACGAAAATGAGATTCAGAATTACTAGACACTATGCTTTAGATTGATGAAATTGAGAGAAGAAAGTAGATGAGGAAAATAGGAAGCGGGTGAATAGGAGAGAGAGAAGAAAGTAGATGAGGAAAATAGGCGGCGGCTCACGGCGGCGGCCACCATTATCAATGGTGGTGGCTTGAAATCTTGACACAAAAATAGCATATATCCATTCACACATAATGCACACACACACAACCACCTCCTACAGTGGCTGGCGGCGGAACTGGGCGGCAGAGCACGGTGGCAGCCACCACCTTGTGGTGGTGGCGGGTTTTCCGGCCACACAACTCACAAACAACATCATAAAAACCGAAAGCAGCATTTACACTCTAACACACACCTATAAGCACACCCACAACCACCTCCCACGGTGGCTGGTGGTAGCGGGTTACGGCAGAACGACAACCGATCGGGCGGCGGCAACCACAGCCGGCTTATCCGACGTCAAAGCATCGAAAATGACAAAAAGGCGAGAGAGATAAGTCGCGACTTTACCTTACCGAGGGCCATCCAGTCGTTTCCGCCTGAACTTAGTCGTTCCCGGCTTCCTCCATCGATTTCGGCGACTTTCTGGCAGCATACGAGGTTGGGCTTCGGGTTTGCGGCTTCGTCGGCAGTGGGCGTCACCGGTAGCAACCATGGCGGTCGATTCTCAGCTGGGCGGCGGCGGATGAAGAAGGTCCGCATGGTGGTGGCGGCTGTTGCATAACATTAGGTTTAGGGTTTAAGATGCGCGAGGGAGAAGGCACGGATGTAATCCCGTGTTCCATTTGAAACCTTGAGGCATTATTACAAGTCTGGCCCTCCTTACAAGATTTGTTTTTCAATTGAAGTCCAAAAGTTACCCTACAACCCTCCACTTGTGAATTATTTGCAAAACTAATCCGAAAATTATCTTTTAACCCTTGCTTCCATAATTCCTTTCATAATAAGTCCCAAAGTTACCAATTAGCCCCCTAAACCTTCAAATCTTTTCAATTTAAGTCCATTAATTACCAGACGCACCCTGACTTCTGAAATCCTTTTCAAATTAAATCCAGAACTTGCACCTCTAGCCCCCAACTTCTAAAATTGTAACAACTAACCCTCGAGACCAACAACCTGCTATATAATTATTTATTTTAGGGTTACTATTCATTCATTAATTCGTTTATTTATTTATTAAATAAACGGGGTGTTACAATAGGGTATGAGGTTTTTTTTAATTATTAAAATATAAAAGTAAATAAAGAAAATGTAAAAATTAATAATAAGGGAAAAATAGTCCTTTCAACCTTTTTAGGACCAAAATCACAGGAAAATCATAATTTTGGACCTTCCATGCAAGTCGGAAACTTTTTGGACCCTATCCAAAGTTTTTTTAATACCACAGGGACCAATTTTGCAGTTTTGTCATATGTTTATGTTGATCATTATCTTCTTAGTACTTTTATTTATCATTCATTTAGAAAAAAAACTTGAATAAATATATTTTTTATTCTAATTTATGAAACAAATGACAATTAACAAATAAACAATTAACTAACACAATTCTAAAACTTGGAAGTGAATGTAACTAAACAAGGCCAAAGAACCAATCGCCAAAATCATTGACAAATTGGCCCCTATTCCTATGAACTATGAATCAAAGGTTTGTAATTTGGAAGTGAATTTAAATAAAGTATCAAACAAATACTAAAAAGATGAAAAATGAATTTTCAAATTGTCAAATACATTAAGAAAATAGCCCCTTTGAATCAAAATCGCTAACCTCAATGAATCGGTAAAAAAAATTCAAATAACAATGAACATTGGAAGTGATTAATTCAATGTAATTAAACAAAGTTACAAAGACCTTAAACCAAAGACAAAAGCAGTATAATTATGAACTAAGAATTGTACAAACCTGCTGGAGTGTATGTGAGTTTGGTTGGTCGGTAGTGTCGTAGGAAGAAGGCGGGCTTGTGGCCGACAGGAGTTGGCTGGTTAAGGGCGCTGAGAGCGTTGAGGGCATCGATCACATTCACACTGACCTTCACAATTGTTTTAAATTTTCATAATTGTTTTTCCTTTTTTGTTTAATTACAATTTTTTAATGGGCCATTGTTTTTTGGCTTACTAGATGCGGATCGGGTATCTAATTGGGTATTGAAATATAAATTTTAGGCTTCTATTTTTTTTCTTTCTAAATACTATGAGGTAGTTCACTCAAAAATTGTAAGGTGTATCACAATTTTTTTTTGTTAAATAAATCTCTATATTATGTAAAAAAATATTAGATGGGTCAAAGGACCCACCTTCACCAAACATAAACTCGCCACTATTCCTATCGAAAAACCAATCGTTGTTGATTCTAACAAGGTTAACAACATATCTCGTCCGCAAAAAATCCTTTCATTCACTCTAAGAGCATCCACAATGGTGAGTTCAATGAGAGAGTTGAATGTGGTGACAAGTCTATGTGTCATTTAATGGATGAAATTCTACCATTATGAAATGCCACATTGGCATTCAATAGATTTGGAGTTCAATGGCCATTGAACTCTTCAATGTGAAAAATTAAGTTTTTAATCTTAAATATTTCTTATAAATTACATTTTGTAACATTTTATTGAACTTTGTAGAGTTCAATGTATTGTAGGAAAAAAAAAATGATAGAGTTATATGGATTGCAGAAAGATGATGTGACAATCCATTGAACTCTAAAGAATTCAATGCATTGTGGATGACCTAAATTCACCATTATGTATAGGTAAGGAAATAGAGACGATTTGTTCGGTGGAACCAACAAATCAAAATTCCTAACTAATGGAAATCAAACCTAAATACACTTGTTTATCTTTAGCAAGCCAAAATCATCTCCAACATTTTCATCATAAAAAACCTACGAACCTCACCTACCATGGTCAAATCCTAACCACAAAAATCATCCCTAACAAGAACCTACAAAAAGGCAAAATCAATGGAATCGGGGACCAAACGATGCACAAACTAGAGACATATATGAACCCGAACCGTCTTCTTCACCCACAAATGAAGCTTGGCGGGTGGCAATGGTGATCCAGTTGCTTTACTTGTGAATAGAGCTTATGGGCGGCAATGGTGTTGCAGAGAAGAAATACAAGTTTGGTTCCTATATAATAGGGACTAAATACAAAATATAATAATGTTTGAGGGACCATCTTAGTTAAAAAAATGTTAGGGACCAAGTATGCAAACTAACCCAAACGATATGGACCATTCATGTAATTTACTCTAAAAAAACATGCATCTAAAACTAATTGCTAAGTAATGGTCTTATAAACATTATTTACCTAAACGGCTAAACCATATCATAATCATAATCAATAAAACGAGTTGTATAAATAACATAAAAAATATTGGGTAACCTTGAACTCTGAGCACACATCAAAGCCTCAAAACGGGTGTTAGCATACAACTATATTTCCTGTGTATATCCGTTATTATATATTACATAGATTGTCAATTCCATGTATATCTTTAATTGATAAAGATTCCTTCTTATGATCACATGTACCTCAAGGAGTGGATAGGCGGCATTTCATCAACACAAAAAAAACTTTCTAATATTCTCATCCCTTGTTAAATGGGGTGGTGTAAATTTCACCAAAAACGATATTTCATAACCATTTTGTATCAATAATACTCGAATCATTCATTCATTCATGCATTAATATTACACAACAACAGTTTGGTTCCAATTCCATACATGGGACACACACAATGTAGATAGATTTCATAACGATTTCGGATGACATCTTCTGATTCTTGACATCATTCATCTTCAGATTTCTTGTGCTGCTTCCCTTTATCCATCTTCTTGTTTTCTTTTTGTGTTGAACCAGAACCACCTTCCTCAGCCTGCAGCGGCTGCTGCTTCTCTTTCTCCACTTGATCACCGGATTCATCATCATTATCATATTCATTCCCTTGTTTTGTTTGTTTACTTCCCCCAGGAGAATTACAAGTTACATCTCCAAAAGTTTGACTCCAAGTAGGTACTTTAAACTCTGATTTACCTTCTGTTTCTTTAGATCCCTCTCTATCAGATCTCTTAACTCTTAGAAAAGTTTGACCCCAATTATGTTCACCAACCTTCTGCTTCTTCTTTTTGTTTGATTCCTCATTCGTATCAATTAATTCACTACAACTAGGTTCTTTAATCTGCTTCAAGAATTCATTTAGTGCTTCTGTAGCAGATAGTTCCCCAGGCTGCATGCATGCAACAACAAAAACCCCATTAAGCCAAATTTAATTATATACAGTCTTTGAACAAAAAAAAAATATTAATATATAATTACTGAATTACATCACCTGATCAGATATTACTGACTGAATTACAGACCTGGCCTTGTTAACATTTTCCTTAGGACCAAATACATTCACTACTCTCTCCCATTCCCAAACACCAGGAGAGGGTCCTTGTTCAATCTGAAAATTCAAACTTTTAATTATAAGTTTATAACAGAAATTAATATGTACTTATATATACATGATCAAGATGTGTAAATTAAATGAAATAACAAACCTTTATCCATGCTCCACACTCCATTTCAATTCTCAAGAGATTACTTCCATAGGTGCCAAGGACACGACAAACCTATATAAACAGATACAGACAAGTAAAAACCGGCCAAAATACACTCAACTTCTTGTTTTCTGTGAAGCTAAGTTTGTACATATATTATATATATCACCTTGTGGAGAGGGATGTTGATTTTGTCCCAACAAATGCCTGGTGGCATTAGAATGATTGGATAGCAAATGCTACTATATGACTGCAGTTATTGAATTCACACAAAATTGGCAAGTGTAAGTATGAAATTAACAGAAAATGTTGGTGTCTACGTTGTAAAATGCTACTATATATATGACCTTCAAAATGTTGTCTAGGATAAGTTCTTCAGCATGTATGACTTCGCCAGCTGTACCCACCATGTCAAGAAATGAATGATTGAGAAGATTGGATTCAGCATCAGCTACTACCCCAATTGTGGCTTTTGAGATTACGTGAATGTCTTTTATCCCATTAAAATCTTTGTCAATGAATTTGACAAGCTGTGAATGAAAATTAAAAGATCAACGAAACTTGGGTTAAATTAGATTATTAATTAGCAAGAGATCAACGAAACTTGGGTTTCATATTTGTATATAATTACAGAGGGAATGTGCGATTTCACATACTTCTTTATTACGAATCCTGTGTAATTTCCTAACAAGTGTCTCCCCTGAAGCAAGTGCCTCAGTTAGTTTCTGAGCTTTCCCTTCTTCTTCTGATAATCGTGAGAAAATATATAAACAAATCATGTTAGTTAAACAAATATTTGAAATGAATATACGCACAGAGATTATTTTCAAGAAACAGATTATAGAACTGAAATTTCTGTGAAAAAACAGATGAATTCGTTGAAGTAACGTCACTAACTCAAAGACGTTCATCAACAGTAGCTTGGATTTGAAATTTAGATCATGATTATATATGAACAGCGTTGATTGCAACTTTCTTAGTCAGGAAATCAACCACATATCATATAAATCGGATTACGACGCACAAATACTTAGGTCAAGAACCCCAACACAACATAAATCTCTTGAAATTCAATCGAAATGGAAACCTCACCATAAATTAGAGAAAGAAAAAACAAAGATCCATCAAGTTCTTGAACATCGAGGTTGTAATCAAACAAGCAAAAGAGATGGTGATTATATTCAATTCCTTACCAAAAATTTTCATATAGCAGTGAGGATCAATGCAACCACCATCAGGTTTCAGCAACGACAGATGTACGGGCAGATCTGGATGTTGTTCTTCAATTTTGGCTCTCGCATATTTGTCTATTTCTGGATTTGGATCCATTATCCTGCTTCCTTCCAAAGATTTGTGAAGTAAGAAGATGAACAGGAAGAATGAAAATGAAGTTTTTGCGTTGTGCGAAGTGATTTACAGGTATTGCATGAGGGGTTTCAGGTTAAAAATAAGAGAGGCGGGAAATTCTGTTATTAATCGACATGATGCTGAAAAATTTATTTTGTTCAATTAAGTACTTTGAGATATCATTTATTTATGATTAGTCCCTGTATATATTGTAAAACCATGGGTGTTAAAGTTTTGTTTTTCTAATGGGATGTTGACATAAAAATTCTTAAGTTTGTAAGTTTTTGTCGATTTAACTCTTTTATATATTTTACGTTTATTAAAACCGGATGTTTATTAAAGTTCTTACATTTTATAGAAATATTCAGTTTTATCATTTTTCTGGTTCAAAAAAACCCTTGAGTTTGATTTTCTAGTTCATTAAAACCTTGAGTTTGCAAAAATGATAAAATACAAAAAAAAAATTGCAAATTTGAAGCATTAATAAAACTAAAATACAACTATAGATAAAACCGATAAAAACTTACAAACATAAGAGTTTTTATGACAATTGCCTTTTCTAATTATACGTTCTTTTACAGAATAGTTATTTTTCAACAGGAAAATGCGTCAAGTGAAATCATATTACAAAGAGACGTATCCCTCACCTGCCAAGAAAGGAAAATTGATTTATTACTCTCTCCGTCTCATAATAATAGTCAATATTTCATTTTTGCTTCATCCCAAAATAACAGTCTACTTTTAAAAATAAATCTCTTTTATCAAAAACATCCCTCATTATTGGTTAACCTACCATGAAATTAAATGCAACAAAAAGATGTAATTAAATACAACAAAATGTTACAATTGTCATTTCATTTAATAAAGTTAGTGATAATTAATGTTTTATTAATCTGTGTGTTTTTTGTCTGTGGACAACAATTTTTGAACGGAAGAAGTATGATTTTTTTATATTTTATTATTATTATTTTTTTAATTTTGTCGGTTTTATAAATTATTGCAACAACATACCCTTTTTTTATGTATGTTGTATGTCTAAAAATATCTCAATTAGGTAATTTTTTTTAATCTAGTCAATGGTATTTGGAAATTATTTTTGGGTATAAAGATATCATAGGATAGATAATTGATTTCGTTTAATGGTTTCAACAAAATTAGCTGAAAAGCTGCTAACTGAACGCTGGAAGATGTAACTTTTATTTGTATATGAGCAGTGGCAGACCTAAAGGTTCCTCGGGGTCCCGGACCACTACTAGGTTTTCGCTTCGAAGTGTAAAAATGTGAATTTTTTTTTCTCTTTTTTTGTATTAAGATCAATGTTCTAAATATCGTAATGCGTGACTTGGCGGCAATGTCAAGCCTCAAGCTTTTTTGAGTCTTGGCGAGCCACTTCGTTTGTAAGGCGTGACGTAAGGCGGCAATTTTGTATATAATTAATATTTTTATATGCATTTTCAACTATTATTCTATTTTATACACATATATGAGTTAAGGTGGCGTTTTGGTAAAGTTTGGCGGCAGGAACAAGCCTTGGAGCCATGGCGTAGGTACAAGCCTAGGAGCCATGACGCACCATGGCGGAGCCATGTCGAGCTTTTTAGAACCTTGATTAAGATCAAAACACTAAAAAACATATGCAACGGTGATTTTTTTGCCACTACTGCTGTAAATTCTTGTGCCTGCTAACGTATATGGGCGTACTCATCCTGAAGTTGACTTATTGACTTTGACTTCTGTTGACCGTTAACTTTTTGACCAAGTTTGACCTTGGGTCAAACTTGAGGGTTTTGGGTTATTAATTAAGTTTCATCTGGTTTTGGTGTTAGTGGATTCGTGGGTGCAAATAGTGCAGAAAAGGGATCGTATCATAGTGTTTTAGAGTTCTTCGGTTCAGGCGAGTCTTCTCCTGGTGCTCGTGAGTCGAAGGCACCAATGCCGACTTACTAAATTTTGTAAGTAGGATGCTAGCTGTCTTTGTGAATCTCGCATGTTTGTATAAGCCTATGTGGTAGAATAGTTGTATCTGTGATGACCAGATGGGTCTAACTGTTATTATTGTGTTATGTTGTTTATGTGTGACTGAGACTGCTGATAGTCTCCAGGGTTGCTGATAACCCACCAAGCGTACTGTTAGCCCACTAGGACTGCTGATTGTCCCAAGGGTTACTGATAACCCACCTGGCGTGTTGTTAGCCTACTAGGATTGCTGATAGTCCCCAGGGTTGCTGATAACTCACTAAGCTTTGTGCTTATGATTTGTGGTTTTCATGTTTAAGGTTTTCTTATATTAAAGGACGGGCACGACTCAATTGCATCACATTAATGGGGGACTTGTGTACTTGATTACTTTTAATGATATTCTGATAAATGTTTGAAGATCTTGCAGTTGTGATTCCAATAAATACTTAATGTTTTAATCGAAAAATTTGAGTTGAATTTTAGGGCATTACAAGCTGGATGCATATTTGGAGCCTAAATGGAGTTGGAACTAAAGGAGAATTATGAGGAATGCTTAGAAGCTATTTTGGTCAAGAAACATTCGATCGAATTGATTTTACGAAGATAGATTGCTACATTCTAAACTCTAAAGGATGTTGCTGGCAACTTTGACTCCCTGTCAGTATTTTGACCATATATCATGACTCGTAACTTCGATTGATGAGATTCAAAATGTTCCGAAAACTAGACAAAATTTCGGACGACTTTCATGTTTACTGAAACTGAAGAATCGCGACTGAAATGTGCTAAAAAGCCAAAAATACGATCGTACTTTTCACTTCTGTGATCGTATAAATGGGTCGAAGTTTTCCATGGTCGAAAAAAGTCATCTAAGAAGAAAATTCAATTTCTGCGATCGCATATATCATATCTGCAATCGCATTTTTGCGCGCGGCTCCAAAAATTTTTAAAATAACATTGTACATCATTTAAGGGTAAATTTGGAAAAAACCTCAATTTTTGCGATCGCATATATGCCTTCTGCAATCACATTTTCTACCAACTTCTTCCGGAAGCTTCTGTCTTGCGTATAAATATGACCCTCATAATCAGATTTGAGGGTGATATGGTTCCAAACGACGAAAAAACCCTTCCAAAGGCGATTTCTGATACCTTTTAGTGATTTCTAAAGATCCGAAGGTTGTGAATCATCTCCTACACTTAGTTTAGAAGATTAATCAGTTCGTCTTTCTTTTTATTAGTTGATATTTGTTTTTAGCCATGTTTGGCTAAAACCCAAGTTTTCAGTTCTGCATTAGACTAGTACTTTTCATGTGACCAGTTATCAGATGTGGTTTTTGATTTGTGTTTCTATCTAGATTTTTCAGTTTTGAACTTAATGAATGTTTGATTTTTAATTCTCGTTCGTCTGATCACCTAGCTAGGGTTTTATCATTCCAGTTAATCAGTTGATAGAATCCGTAATTGTTCTTGTCAACTAGTAATAAGTAACAAGTATCAGATTGGTTTCATGTTTGGGATTTAACTCTGATATAAACTGGAATTTCATTGTAACACCCCGAATTCAGAAGACCAAGAAAGGAAAGGAAAACCCTAAGTCAAGGAGTCAACTCGTCGAGTCCAGGGAAGAACTCGATGAGTAGAAGTGAGTTCTGTGTCGCGGATTAAGTGGCCGACTCGGCGAGTCGGGGGACTGACTCGGCGAGTCTGGTCTGGGTTAGGAAACCCTAATTTCAGGACTTGGTGCCCTATTTAACCATCATATTCTCATTCCCTCAGCCTCATCTTCAGCCCCCAGACCCCAAACCCTCACCCACGAAACCCTAGTGCAATCTTGAGCCATTTTCCTTGCAATTGTGTGGTTTGAAGCTAGGAGAAGGAAGGCAAAGAGTGAAGACATCAAAGGAGGGCAGAAGATTTAGAGTTCTTGGGACATCTCAGACTTGTTAAAAGTATAAAGCTTATACCTTGGCTTCTATCCACTTAGATCTTCTTATGGACTTGTTATTTGCACTTTTTGGGTCCTTTCCAAGGTCATTCCGAGATTTGAACCTTGGGGGATGAAAGGAATTCAGATCTGGACATTTCTGAGCTTTAGAATCTCAAAGTTGCCACCTTTATTCAGCCATGACTCCATGACATGAATTAGGCCTTCATTTTGGCTTGGAACGAGTGTTTTAGCTTCATAACATCATGCATGAACGTAAAGTTAGCAACTTTACGTGTAATGCTAGTCTAAGGAGTCCAAATCTATGAGTTAGAAGCATTGTAATGGATTAGAATCGACTGAATGGATATGTCACAAGGAGGACTCGACGAGTCGGGCCGTAAACCCTAACTCATTTTCTGGTTGTAAGTGGAACCACTAAGTTGAGGAGGTGACTCGGTGGGTTGGAGAGGACTAGGACTCGGAATTTGAAGAACTCGACGAGTCATAGGGTGACTCGGCAGGTCGAGTCGCGAATTGTAAGGTTTCTGAGTTCTAGAACTCGGCGAGTCAGTAGGCTGACTCGGCGAGTAGGGTCAACTTGGAAGTGTTGACTTTGACCATTGACCGTTGACTTTGGCTTTGACCAGAGTTGATTTAGTTTGACTTCTGGAGGGAATATTGATCTAAGTGTTATTTTGATATCGGTAGCTCGAGGAGCCGAAGGATCAGCAGTTCAGGAATCGCCAGTTCATCGTCATCAGAGTTCCAGTCGAGGTTTCAGCAGTGCAAGGTGAGTCTCCTCATTGTGTGCATGGGTCTACGGCCACAATGCCGACCCATTATGTTTATGTTTATGCTTATGTTTAAGTATAGAAGGAAGACCCGAGGGTTAGCCCTAGGCACTTATTGTTTTATGATCTGGGTTACGACCTGATGCCGGGCGAGGCCCGAGGAATGTTAGGATGCTAGAGGTCTTTGTGATTCTTGCATGTGTCGGTACGATAGGTTCCGGACTGAGGGTCCGATGTCGGGGTAAGCCCGAGGTATGTTAGATAATAGTATGTCTCCGGACGGGGGGTCCGATGTCGGGGCA